TGGGGCTGGTCTAGAGTCACTAGATCTCTCTGGTGTGGTGGTCTTATTATGGTGAGGTGTTGTTTTCTTGGAAGTCAGTTCTGATTGCATTGTGAGTCCATTTATGCTGATGCTATAGAGTGGCATGGGATAATCATCGCCTGTATTATTTGGATTTTTACTGTCATTTGGTTATTTTCTGCCGTCTCAAAAAAACACAAAGAGAGAAAGAATTAAAATGGCCCCCAAACTTGGTGCTGAAGTGTCATATTATGTTCTTAATTGCAAGAAGTCTTCAATGTGTCTCACAGAGAAACTATGCACTAGATAAGCTCCTTTCAGGCCTGAGTTATGGCGCTGTTGGCTGTGAGTTCCATGTGAATGAATCAGTAGTATGTATTAAATAAGGTGTCTTTAAAGAGAGACACACGTAAAGCAAGGTTATGTATTGATCAGTTGACAAAAATATTGTGGCCAAATACAGGAACCAAAACCTATTATCTCTACTAGGGACCACAGTTCAGTATTCACTAATGCAATGTTTGTGGTGACTCCATAGAACATAAGTACCATGAATAATGATAGAGTGCACACAGGTATATATACATACACACACACACACACACACATACACACACACACATACATACATGTATACATACATACATATATTAGATGGAGTCTCACTCCGTCACCCAGGCTGGAGTGGTGCAGTGGTGCAATCTCAGCTCACTGCAACTTCTGCCTCCCGGGTTCAGGTGGTTCTCCAGCCTCAGTCTCCCAAGTAGCTGGGAATACAGGCACATGCCACCATGCCTGGCTAACTTTTTTAGTGGAGATGGGGTTTTGCCATGTTGGACAGGCTGGTCTTGAACTCCTGACCACGGTGATCCACCTGCCTTGGCCTCCCAAAGTGTTGGGATTACAGGCATGAATCACTGTGCCCAGCCTTTGTATATATATCTTTATATATAATATATGGGTATATTTATGTATATAATTAGCCATACAAATATATTTGAATAGTGAATATAAAACTGAATTCACACATATGTCCACATTTAAGGAGATTGAGAAAAAAAGAGAAGAGGGAATAGAGTGGAAAGAATGGAGAAGAAAGAAGAGACAGATGGGAGAGTGTGCCTTAGACACTCCTGCTTTGCCATTATGTTTTCTGAACTGGGCATTGCCTCCTAAGCTATGTTAAATACACACAAAAATGATAATTATAACTAACAACAACCAAAAATTGGTATGGTTATTAATGATAATAAATGTAATAGTGATGATAAAGAGGAGGATGATAAATTTACTGAATGCTTGTATCATGCCAAGCATTGTGCAAACTAAACTTGGGAATGATCCTAACAACTTCATGAAGATGGTACAATTTTATCCTTATTTTAGATGACAAAAACTCATTTGGATACATTAGGTTCCCAAGGGGTCCACAGATAACGAACGGGAGAGATTCAAACGAGGTACTCTGAATCCAGTGGCAAATGAACAACAATCTATCTTAATTAATCATAATTAGCCTCTATAATTCTAAATTTTTAGAAAGTCAGGTAGGGTGGATACCAGGAATGGACTAGTAGGTATCAGGATATCAGAGCAAAGCTATAAATCTAATCAAAAGCTATTTTGTACTCTTTTTTTAGGTCGTGTCACCATTCAAACATAAACTTTTCATGAATGAAGTCAGGAAGGGTCACTTACATAGAAGAATTATTTCCTACATGGGTCCTCTCAGATGCATAATGACAAAGAGTAGGTCAAAATCCAGACTCACACAAAGTTTATAGACAAAGTCAATTGGGAAGCTTTTCCGCACATTACTGAGCCTGTGTTTGAAGTCAGACATAACTGAGTTCTAATGCAGGTCTGCCGTTTCACTAGCGTTAGGCCCCAGCCAGGACCAATTAGACTCAGTTTCCTTATCTATAGAACATGTATAAAAACATTCACCTCGTAAGCATTACTGGTGGTGGGAAGGTAAAGTAAAATAGTATCTTCAAAGCATTTAACAAGAGCATAGTACATAACAGGAAATGCTCAAAATGGCAATTACAATTATTAATAGAATATCCTATTGCCTCCCTTTGGGCCTATTCTCTGATTAAGCCAAATATCCCAAATTGTTAATATACTCTAAGAGTTTTACAATCACAACATGTTTTGGGATGTAATAGGACACAGAAGAAAAACAGGGTCTGAGATGTATTGAAATCTGATACCATCAAAAGAAAATGAACAGAGTGAAACTTTCAACTCCAAAGTTATTTTTCCCTCAAGTTAAATTGGGGGTGCATAATTGAAGACAGTAAGAAAATATTTGTCCTCAAAGCAGTTACAGGCAGCTTCTGACAAGCTAAAAAAGAAGAAAAATCAAGCAAATCAGCAAAACTCCTCCTGTCTCCTTCCCACGTCCTTCACTACAAAATCTGTTACTTAAGAAGCATCTGAAAATCACTCTGAAAAACAGAAGCCACATGTGTCTCAACAACAGAAAAACCTGGTGGCTTATAATGAATTTATAGAAATCTTGGATTCTTTAGTCTCCATGAACGAGCAGAGGAAGGGCCCTTCAACACTGAATAGCCTCAGATATCTCATATTTTCTCATGACTTTCTGGGAAAACTTACACATTTGTTTATAGTGAATGCATTCTAGTAGACCACCTCCCCTCTTCACACAATGCTGATGGAGAACAGGGCCGCTTACCCACTGTTGATGTCATCAGTCCTGAGACTTTTCCCAAGGATATCACCATCACTCATATATCCACCCACATCGACTTCAGAAGACATGTCCAGGTCACTGCTTGCTTTCTCATTCATGTCAATCTGTGACATGTTTCCCAGCCGAGAGACAGCAGCTCGACGGAGAGGCGTGGTATACATGAACCTCGAGGGGTCTGTGTGGATGAATCGACTGGTACCACTGCGAGGATAGCCAGCACCCAGGGAGGGAGCATCTCCTGCCTGAAGTCGCGGACATGCCTGGCCCAACCTCCATGTCATGGGGGTGGGTCGACTTGTCAAGTTGGGTATGCTCCTTCCATTCACTTCTGTTGTCACAGTGCTGTCAAATGTTGTCTCCAAGGTGCTGTCAAATAAAATGGAGAAATAACTAAACTCTGGTTCACTTAGGGCCACAACCTAGAATGCATGATGACAGAAAAGGCTAGAGTTGACGGTCATCTCTTATAAACATGTCATCTTCCTGAAAGCTAAACTATATGTTCATTTTGAGGTCAAACTGTGGAAAGGGGCATACATTTTACAGCTTTTGGTTGTTTTCAAAAGAAAGGCCATCAGCACACCTTGGGTAAAACAACATATTGCTTTACATTTTCAACAAATCCTTAACTCATTGTAATCTTCCCAGACCTATTCTGAAAGTTAACTACAATTACGTTTGAATGTCTCCCTACCACCCTGCCTAGATGCACTTCAAGTACAACTTGTGCCACTATTTTCTAGGACAGGTATTACAAATCCACTTAACGGTGATGGCGGTAGTTGCAGTAACTAATTCCCTTGAACTGGAGGTTATACTGAAAAAGACATAGAAAGCAGATAGAGATAGAGATAAAAGATAAATAGGTATATGTATGAATTTTCAGTTTAAGGATAATTATGAATCAATTTTTATATAAAACAAGAGAGGAAATAGTAAGGGGAAACTGAAATCCCATCTCTGTCATTATAAGAAAAGTTAAATGTTTGTTTGTAATTATTTTTTCTTTATTGGCTCAAATATATGCAGAATTGAAAAAACCTGTGGCTTATCTGAGTCCCACGAAGACTGGACATAGTCTCTTCTAAATTCTGCCTCAAATCTGCTATGTTTTTAACGGTTCTCATTCTTCTTGTTTCAGGGTCTTCACCTAGGAAAGCAACATGATAAATTGACTATTCATGACATTTATTATCCTCAAAATAATTGTATACATAGATAAGTAAGTCACCACTTCTTAAAAGTAAAAGGATATGTAATACTCTTCAAATAACTATTATTTACAAATTATAATTCTTTCTACAAATATAATATCACAAGTAATAATTTTAAGTGGTGATAACACAATAACACTTTGTAGGTTTGACCTTAAAATAAAAAAAAAAAATCACTTGGAAATATGCTGTTTACCAATCCATGTTGCTGGGATTAATTAAAAATCTATGATTATGACCTGAGAAAGATGGCTGAATAGGAACAGCTCCGGTCTGCAGCTCCCAATGAGATCAACACAGAAGGCGGGTGATTTCTGCATTTCCAACTGAGGTAACAGGCTCATCTCAATGGGACTGGTCAGACAGTGGGTGCAGCCCACAGAGGGTGAGCAGAAGCAGGGTGGGGTGTTGCCTGACCTGGGAAGTGCAAAGGGTTGGGGAACTCCCTCCCCAAGCCAAGGCAAGCTGTGAGGGACTGTGCCTTGAGGGACGGAACTATCCGGTCCAGATACTATGCTTTTCCCAGAGTCTTCACAAACTGCAGACCAGGAGATTCCACTGGGTGCCTACATGACCAAGGGCCTGGGTTTCAAGCACAAAACTGGGCAGCCATTTGGGCGGACACTGAGCTGGCTGCAGGAGCTTTTTTTTTGGTACCCCAGTGGCACCTGGAATGCCAGTGAGACAGAAACATCCACTCCCCTGAAAAGGAGCCTAAAGCCAGGGAGCTAAGTGGTCTAGCTCAGTAGATCCCCCCGCCATGGAGCCCAGCAAGCTAAAATCCACGGGCTTGAAATTCTTGCTGCCAGCACAGCAGTCCGAAGTACACCTGGGACCCTGGAGCTTGGTTGGGGGAGGGGCGACTGTCATAACTGAGGCTTGAGTAGGCACTTTTCCCCTCACAATGTAAACAAACCTGCTGGGAATTTTGGACTGGGCAGAGCCCACTGCAGCTTGGCAAAGCTGCTGTAGCCAGACTGCCTCTCTAGATTCCTCCTCTCTGGACAGGGCATATCTGAAAGAAAGGCAGCAGCCCCAGTCAGGGGCTTACAAATAAAACTCTCATCTCCCTGGGACAGAGCACCTGGGGGAAGGAGCAGCTGTGGGTGCAGCTTCAGCAGACTAAAACATTCTTGCCCACTGGCTCTGAAGAGAGCAGCGGATCTCCCAGCACAGTGCTCTAGCTCCGCTAAGGGACAGACGGCCTCCTCAAGTGGGTCCCTGACCCCCATGCCTCCTGACAAGGAGACACCTCCCAGCAGGTGTTGACAGACTCCTCATACAGGAGAGCTCCAGCTGGCATCTGGCGGGTGTCCTTCTGGGACCAAGCTTCCAGAGGAAGGAACAGGCAGCAATCTTTGCTGTTCTGCAGCCTCTGCTGGTGACACCCAGGCAAACAGGATCTGGAGTGGACCTCCAGCAAACTCCAAAAGACCTGCAGCAGAGGGGCCTGACTGTTAGAAGGAAAACTAACAAACAGAAAGGAATAGCATCAATGTCAACAAAAAAGATGCCCACATAAAAACCCCATTCGAAGGTCACAGACATCAGAGGCCAAAGGTAGATAAATCCACAAAGATAAGAAAAAAAAAAAAAACAGCTCAAAAAGGCTGAAAATTCCAAAAACCAGAATGCCTCTTCTCCTCCAAAGATCACAACTCTTCACCAGCAAGGGAACAAAACTGGACAGAGTATGAGTTTGACGAATGTACAGAAGTAGACTTTAGAAGGTCTCCTCCAAGGCCTTCTCCTCCTTGGAGGAGAACAAACTCCTCCAAGCTAAAGGAGAATGTTATAACCCAATGAAAGGAAGCTAAGAACTTTGAAAAAAGGTTAGAGGAATTATTAACTAGAATAACCAGTTTAGTACACAAGAACACAAATGACCTGATGGAGTTGAAAAAAACAGCACGAGAACTTCATGAAGCATACACAAGTAGAAATAGCTGAATAGATCAAGGAGAAGAAAGGATATCTGAGATTGAAGATCAACTTAATGAAATACAGCATGAAGACAAGATTAGAGAAAAAAGAATGAAAAGGAACAAACAAAGCCTCCAAGAAACATGGGACTATGTGAAAAGACCAAACCTAGGTTTGATAGGTGTAACTGAAAGTGATGGAAAGAATGGAACTAAGCTGGAAAACACTCTTCAGGATATTATCCAGGAGAACTTGCCCAGCCTAGCAAGACAGGCCAACATTCAAATTCAGGAAATACAAGGAACACCACAAAGATACTCTTTGAGAAGAGCCATCCCAAGACACATAATTGTCAGATTCACCAAAGTTGAAATGAAAGATACAACATTAAGGGCAGCCAGAGAGAAAGGTTAGTTACCCACAAAGGGAAGCCCATCAGACTAACATCTAACTTGCGACTCTCTCTGCAGAACCCAACAAGCCAGAGAGAGTCGGGGGCCAATATTCAACGATCTCTTTTTTTTTTTTTTTTTTTTTTTGAGCAGAGCTCTTGCTCTGTCGAACCCCAAGCTGCAGTGCAGTGGCACATCTCGGTTCACTGCGAAGCTCACCTCCTGGGTTCACACCATTCTGCTTGCCTCAGCGCTCTGAGTCGCTCGCGGATACAGGCGACAG